ATAATGTTATGGATGGAGGCCACCAAATGTTTGATCATCAGGGGCCATGCTGGCTGAGACGGATTCTGGGAGTTCTACTCTTCAGCTAAACTGAATGAGTACCAAGATGCAGACAGACAGAGAGACTAGTGCAAAAGAAAGAAGAGGGTCCACACAGAAGAGAAGGGCGGTGGGATGAGAGTAAGATTCACGAGACTGTAACTCAAGCAAAGTTGAGTCCATTAATGAGTCACTAAGAGAGTTACACCAGCCAAATGTTCCCCAGTTATCCTCCAGTTATATCAGAGCATAAATTTCTGGTCACACGATGCATGGCCATTAGCATATCATTTTACCAGCCAGCGATGTAACTGTGAAATATTTCCCCCTCACTGGGAGGCTTCTACTATTTTGTTCCAGTGGTGTTTCGATATATTCCTTAGTGGTATGGCATACATGTATGATCCTATTTGAAACAAATTCACCAGGGAAGGTGGCTGCCATTACAGCCTCATGACTACCCTTCTATATATACACAGTATACATATATGTATGTGTGTATATATACATATGCATATGCATATACATATACCCAGTTTCCCTGAAAATAAGATCTAACCTGAAAATAAGCCCTAGTATGATTTTTCAGGATGCTCGTAATATAAGACCTACCCCAGAAATAAGCCCTAGTTAAGTGAAACCCCGCCCACCAGCAGTGTGCAGCAACGAGAAGATGACATGGCTAAAATAAAACATCCCCTGAAAATAAGCCCTAATGCATTTTCCCAGCAAAAATTAATATAAGAACCTGTCTTATTTTTGGGAAAACATGGTACTTAGTGGTTCCGGGCCCTCTATATTTTGCATAGGTTCCCCCCCCCCTTCAAGTCCGTCCACCCATGAAAAGTTGGGAGTCCTATTCCCTATTGTGACTCTTCTGAGTAGAACTAGTTTGTGCAGCCTTGGGCAAGCTGCACAATCTCTGGGCTGTCCCAGAAGAAAGGAACAGCAAACGATATCCAAGTGTTATCAACCTGGAAAACCCTGGAAAACATCACCCTAAGTCAGAATAGACTTGATAACACAGCATGGTTATATTTAGGACTCAGTCACTGATGCCACAAAAGTTCTGCCTGAATCTCTTAGGCCTCAAGGAAGGTGCACAACCTCAACAGAAGGAATCTCATGCCTCTTTCATAAAGTTAGGGTGGCCTTTTTCTTTTCTTCCAGAATGTCATGGAAAGGAAATTTTAAAATGGTGGCAGCAGGATCATAGCTGACTGTTCCCAGTCCAGAAAAAGGTTCACCCGGACTAAATTTCGAAAGGGTGTTTGTGGGACAACAAGAAAACAAAACTGTTTGCACTCAGTGGTTGTTCCTTCTCTTTGTTTTCATAACTAATGCCAGTCAAAAACAAGTGGGGCCCGTTTGAAAGGAATGACTTTACACCCCATAAAGGATTAGCATGTTCACACAGATACCATTGTGTGGGTCTGAAAGCTTTAATTGGCTTGATTAGAGATTAATCAACTAAATATTAATATGGAGGTTTATTTTAAAGGACTGGGCTCAGAATCAAGGTGGGGGGAGAGAATTATTTCTTTTGTTGCTGCTATGTTACAGGAACAGGAATAAAGAAAAACATTTAAAAGCACCTTTCCTTCTCATAATGATTGGTTTTTTGTTTGTTTTGTTTTTTGTTTTTCGGGTATATACTGTATCCCTAAAGGCTATTTCAGTAAGATTTGGCAATGCTCAAAAGTCTTGAAATGCTATTGATAAATAACAAATGAATGATTCATACTCTTTTCAGCCTGATATATATGAACTTCTTAATTATAAGCAGAACGTGTTTTTAGGTCCCTAGAGCCTTGTTAGAGACAGTGTGTTACTAATGGGAGCAAAAGTCAATATACTGTATCCCTAAAGGCCATTTCAGTAAGATTTGGCAATGCTCAAAAGTCTTGAAATGCTATTGATAAATAACAAATGAATGATTCATACTCTTTTCAGCCTGATATATATGAACTTCTTAATTATAAGCAGAACGTGTTTTTAGGTCCCTAGAGCCTTGTTAGAGACAGTGTGTTACTAATGGGAGCAAAAGTCATCAGGCTTAGGCACAGGGCTATAGGAGAATCTCTAGACAAAATCCAGGTTTGATCCCTGACTTTCTCTTATATCATGCTGGGTCCAGCTTGGCAATCTGTTTGGCCATAAAGGGAATTTGGGAATTTTCAATACCATTTTGAACTCACTGTGGCAATAGATAAAATACAAAGGGCTTGTCTACACAAGCTCATTGGAGTAGCTAAAGTGCATTAAACAGGGTCACTAGAGGGCTGGTATGCCATTTGGTGTGCTCAATGCATCCAAATGGCATTGCCCCCTTACCCCAGAATAATGATGCGAGACAAGTATCATGGGGTAAACATGGACCACATTTTATTGAATAATCATTCTTGCCCACCATAAAAGGGGGGTCCTGCCGTAGTGCGGAATCAGGTTTAAGCACAGGGGTCTTAACGGACCTCTTACAAAACAAATGAGTGAGTCCCTAGCCCCAAGTTCTCACGGTCGTGAAGACAGCGAGAACCTGGCCGGCCCCAATTTGACCACCCCCGGACCGCGAGCCACATTCTCCTTGTTGACTGTTGGTCTGGGTGTGGCCCCAGTGCATCTTCCCCCTCCCCAAGCATTGTAATCACACGATGAGCTAGACATTACCTGTGATTGTGAGGGGACTCACTGAAACCTGTTCTATCCACACTACCCGCCTGTGTGACCGAATATTTCCACCTCTCAAAATGTCATTGCACCTGCTCCAGTGTGGGATAGATGAAAAATCCCTGCATCCAAAAGCCAATCAGGATAAGGGGCAAAAAATTTCCTATCCAGCCCCAAAGGTGACCAGGTAAACTCACACTAAAAAAATAAGGCAGGTGGGTGGGTTGCCAGCAAGGAAGAGGATGGAGGGAGGAGGGATCACCATTTAAGTAGCTCACTCATTCCGCCCTCCCCTCCAGGGATGCTCTCGCGAGACTCAAAGTGTCTCGCATTATCCCAGGAAGGAGGCAAAGGTGACCCATGCTGCCGAAGGTAAACTCATCAGCAGATCCAGCATAATCACCTCAAGTGACCCTATTTGGCCCACCCCTTGCTCTTTGAGTTTCCCATAATATAAAGTGGCTTAAGATGTCAGCAACTTCCTGATATTGGAAAATTAAACTGTTCCTCTGCTCCTCTATAGAGTGCCAAAGGAAGTAATTTTCACACTATATTAGAGCATCGCTGGTGCACTACATCACATATTAAAAATAAACCAAATATTTAAAACTT